CTTTTACACAACATGTCGGCATTTTCTTCTTTATATAAGTTTAAAAGAATAGCTCGAATATTTGTATTTGTATCACGACACCACGTGGGCTATATTGTTGTAAAATGGCGGAAATTAAGGCCAGCGCGTTGCTATGCGTAAACTCGTCTTAGTTACGAGCACACCATGTCTACTTGCATCATGCTTTGACTTTGACAGCTGGATAGAACGCTCTTTATAAAAATTAATAAAGTTCCTCTTTACTACAATATCTCTGAGTTCATTACGCGAGTGCGGGAGTGCGCGAGAGTCTTTAGTGCGTGTCGCGAGTACCGCTTTGCGACGAGCGTAACAATATACAATATTTAATTCTGGAAGGAGATCTAAAAAACCAAAGCTTTATCACTTTTAAGCGATGAATAATAATGGAATAATTTTCATAAAGTTTTCACTTCAGTTTTCACTTATAAAACATTTTTTCATTTGTGCACGTAATTATTTTTATGCGCAGACAATTAATTACAAGCAATCATCATGCAATTAATATTCCACTGAATAGAATACGAAAATATATCAATAAAAGAACATGAATAATAAATAATGGTTCTGTGAGTTTTGTACAATCTCATACGTGCGAAAAATCGACGGATATTCCAGAATAAAATACTTTAAAACATTAACTCTATTTTCTAGCCCATCCATTTCAAGGCAATGGATCTGCGAGGTTTTACATTTATTCGTAATATTTTTTTCACAGATCCATTACCTTAAATTAAAAGAATAAAGGATAATTCGTCACTCACCAAGCCGCGACGCGCAACGGCGGAGTTGTAACTGCGTTATAAACATTAATCTGTAAAATACAAATATAAAATTTGAACTACTCTAACGCCGAAAATCATTAATATTTTAAAAAATAACTGTTGCGCGATTTGAATTTATATATTCTTTCCTATTTTTTATTTGTTAAATAACGTAAATATATAACCATTTCTAAAAAAAAATCTTTTTTTACAAGCATAAACTTTTTTAAATAAAATTTAAAATTTTTAAAATTTTAGAAATAAATATTTAATTTATACATAAATAATCCAAATAATGTATATGTTACGGGCAAAGTCCGCAGGGTGTGCAAAGTCAGCATTGCCCGGGTCGTATCAACATTGCCCAACGCGAGTGGGCAAAACTGCAAAAATGATTTTATTAGCGGACATGGCCCAGTTTTGTGTGGGCAAAGTGAATACTACCAGAAAGGATCCGAGAGCGGACAT